TGCCTGCTGGAATATTTTTGTGGGTGATTCAACATACACATCAATTTAAGGGGAACTGATATCTTAACACTGACTCTTTCCATCTGTAAGCACACTATCTCTCCATTTATTTTTTTCAAGAGTCACTTTTTTTTTAAACTTTTTATTTAAATTCCAGTTAGTTAACATATAGTTCAATATTAGTTTCAGGTGTACAATATAGTGATTTGACACTTCCATACAATACCTGGTGCTCAGTTCAAGTGCATTCCTTAATCCCCATCACCTATTTAATGTTTATTTATTTTTGAGAGACAGAGCAAGAAAGCACAAGCAGGGGAGGGGCAGAGAGAGAGGGAGACACAGAATTTGAAGCAGGCTCCAGGCTCTGAGCTGTCAGCACAGAGACAAATGTGGGGCTTGAACTCACAAACAGTAAGATCACGACCTGAGCCGAAGTCAAGTCGGAGGCTTAACCAACTGAGCCACCCAGGCGCCCCTCCCCATCACCTATGTAACCCATCCCCCCATTCACCTCCCCTTTGGTAATCACCAGTTTGTTCTCTATAGTTATGAGTCTGTTTCTTAGTTTGCTTTTTTCCCCCTTTGCTCATTTGTTTCTTAAAATTCCACACAAGAGCCACTTATTAAGTCTATTAGTTTTGTGGTTGTTGTTGTAGTTTTTGAAATATTCTATGTGGAAGACCAGGTTGTCTGCAATAGAGACAATTTTATTTCTTCCTTCCCCAAAGGTATGCTGCACCACCACAACCACCTTCCCTTTCTTGCTTTCCTTACTGCACTAAGATCACCAGCACAATGTTCACTAGGGAGAGCAAAGCAAACATCTTTGACCATTTGCCAAATGAAAAAAATGCTTGGGGGCAAGCATTTAGTCTTTCACAATTAAATATGATGACTAGATTTTTTTTTTTATAGATGCTCTTTAACACTATGAAGTAGCTACCCTTTGTTTCTAGTTCACTGAGGTTTTGCTCTAAAAAGATGTGGAATTTCTGTCAAATAATCTTCTGCATCATTGAATGATCATATGGTTATTTTTTTTTTTTTTTTAGGCTGCTGATATGATGAATGACACCAATTGATTTCATATATTGGACCAACCTTGCATTTTTAAGTTAAACACTACTTGGCCGTGATGTACTTTCCTTTTAAACTATTGCTAAATCTGATTTGCAAATATTCTGTTAAGGATGGCTATGGTCTATGTTCAGGAAAAACATTGACCACCAAATGTTTTTTTCTTATAATGTCTCTGTCTGGCTTTAGCGTCATGATTAGTGCTAGCCTCATAAAATATGTTAGAAATCCTTGCTCCTCTCTTTTCTGGAATATATGTATGAATCGGCATTTTTTATTTAATTGTATTCAAATCTTTTTAAGATCCTTTAATTATCTGTAGATTCTGAAGTGATGCTGTTTCCTTTCATTGCTTGCTATGGATATTTATACCTCCTTTTTCTTTGTATTGCCATGGTATTAATGATCTTTTTAGTCAACATTTTGTTGTTCCTACTTCTTTTTTTCCATTTTTAATCTTATTTTTATCACTTCCTTTTTTACTTTCTTGTAGTTCACCATACTTTTTTATTCTAACCTATTGAGTTGGATGCTTAGATATTTTCGGGCTTTCTTCTTGTCTGATCTGTACTTACTACAATACATTTCCCTCTATTACAGGTTTAGGTGGAACTGATTTTGTGAATAGTATACAGTAATTATGTTTTCATTTTCTGTTTTACCCATATGGATAACTGAGCCAGAAGCATTTATTGAAGCACAACATTTCTCCTACTGTTCTACATTGCCATATTTGTCGTAATTCAAATACCTCTAGGAAATTATGTTTCTGGATTTTCTTACCATTGGTCAATTTGGCCGCCCATGTGCAATACGTTGTCTTAATTATCACTTTATGGAAAATCTTAGTCTGGTAAGTTCTCTAAATTTGCTCTTCAAAAGTATCTTGGCTAGTCTTACCTTTTAGCATTCCCATATGTAATTTTATAATTAAATTGTAAAAATTTCAAAAAAAGAAAGCTTGTTGGGGTTTTGATATAAAATGCATTGAAAACCGTGGGAAATTGATCTTTATTCAGGGACGTTGAGGGATATAATCATATGTCCTAGATTCGGTGCCATGGGCAAACATGGTAAGAGGTACTGTCAAAACTTATCAAGAATGGACTATCAGAATAAGCCTGATACAGAATTAAGCAAAACAGGGCATCAGAGCAAGCTCAATTAACTACTGATAAAAATGGAGTCCTTGCCACTTTCTAACAGTGGGATGATTCATAAGAACTGTAGCTTTAATTTCACATAATAGAGCTAAATCCACACAGAAATTTGTAGCCAGTTGCTGGTTACCTGCATGCTATTTGGTATTTTGTTGTTGCTCAATAATAAAATAAACTAACTCTATATTTACGAATGGGCTTATTCCTTTGGATTTCAATTTTTTCATCTCCCCAACAATATACAAATCACTTTGGGGGAAAATGGGCATCTTTAATATTGAGTCTTTCAACCAAAAAACTTGGTAAGTCTCTCAGTTTATTTAATTAAGCCTTGTTTAATTTATTCAGTAATGTTTTATAATTTTCTATATAGAAGTTCTATACTCCATGATTAGACTTACTTTAGGGGGTTCATATTTTTTATGCTAATGTAAATGGCATTTTTAAATTTTCACTCTGCTGATATGTAGAATGTTTACTTTTTAATATTAAAACTATATAAAGCAACTAAACTCCTTTATTTCTAATATTTAATCAGTTATTTTTGTTCTCCTTATACACCACTGCATCATCTATGTCCTTGTTACTTTTTCCTTTTTAATCCGATGCCCATTTTCCTATTCTTGCTTCACTGCACTGATCAGCTCCTCTAATAAAATGCTCAAAAAAAATAAAAAAAGTATGGTGAAGTATTAAGTCAGTAGGTGCTAAGTCTAAATTTGGATGTTTATAGAAGTCCATTATCAGATCAACAGGCTGCTTGGAGGTTTGTGACAGCAGAAAATCAAATGGGAGGCTTGCAAAGTAGATTGTGAATCTTTGTTACATCTACATAAGTTCTGTATCTGTCACTATATAGAACACACTCTTCATCAAATTTCTATGTATTCCCAATATGTTCCTTTTTTTTTCTTATCCTTTTTAAAATTTTATTTATTTATTTATTTATTTATTTATTTATCCTTCTCATGCCTTTGTAAGACATCAGTTGGGATGTCTTCCACGAGAAAACATCAGAGCAGCTCAACCCAAAACATGTACTCCTAAGCATTCTTTCCCTGGTATGAACTGTCAATTACATCTGATGACAGTGTTCTCAGCTCACTGCTCATAATGAGACCAAGAATTTGCGTGCACGGACTAGGAAGTTCCCACATCCATGTTAGGCATCCCCTGAAGAGGTTCTCACCCAGGGGGTTCCCATCTTTTCACAACAGACAGTTCAGCCATTGAGGAAGAGGATCTGGTGGGCAGGAAATGTGAAAGAATCAAGTAGAAACTATATAAAGAACTATGTGAACATAAGTATACAGACATTCTCCTTTGTGCCAGGAATGCTCTTCTGCAGAAACCTCTAGCAAGGGTCCTCATCTATTTATTATTTTTTTTTTCAACATTTATTTATTTTTGGGACAGAGAGAGACAGAGCATGAATGGGGGAGGGAGCAGAGAGAGAGGGAGACACAGAATCGGAAACAGGCTCCAGGCTCTGAGCCATCAGCCCAGCGCCTGACGCGGGGCTCGAACTCCCGGACCGCGAGATCGTGACCTGGCTGAAGTCGGACGCCTAACCGACTGTGCCACCCAGGCGCCCCGCAAGGGTCCTCATCTAAAGCTGCTCATGCAGGAATAGACAACCAAAGCAAAGAGAGGAGATATTTTAGAAATATTAAGTTCTTAAGCCTGTGAAGAGTTTTTCTCTACAAGTGTTCTTTGTTCCCAGAGAAAACAGTTGGGGCTGCAGGGCAGGAATCAGAAAATAACTGAAGAGACATTAGACGTGATCTTTATGTGTAACCACCAGTTTATAAATGTATGTAAAAAACAACAAATGCATAATAAAATGTCACTTGAACATACCAAGAATCAAGGCCACTAGGGTCAAAAACAGTAAAATGAACAGTCCTGGGAATGGGTTATCAAAAGCAGAGTGTCTGAAATACAAGTTTAGATGTAGCTTTTACATATTAGTCTTAGCATCCAACTGCATGGAAATGAAAGACAAAAAGAATAATAAATGAAAATGTACTCTTCACTATACTTTTTTTTTTTTACTGATAGGAAATATTCAGATGGGTGAAGCAGGCTTGCTTGAAGTTACACAATCTGTGAGTAGCTGAGCCAGTATTAGAACACAAGACCATCTGGTTCAGTACCAAAGCATTTCCACAACACCAAACTCCCAGTGAGGGAGAATAAATGGGTGATCTGGTCAAGTAGCACCAATTTCAAGATCCAGGATCCTTCCAAGAGACAGGTCAACTTATATGGATGGGAAAACGTATAAACATCATCTGATCCACCTATCTTTCCATCTTTGTACAAGAATTTTACATGTATCTTTAGGGGTCATGCTAAGCCCCTCCTTATAATGTAGTTTCTAGGAATTTATGTATGTATGTATGTATGTATGTATGTATGTATTTAACTCAAGCTTTCTTCATGTCCTTTACAGGGAATTACTGTATGGCCAAAACGATGCCAAGCTAATATTAGCTATTTCACAATGTCTGGTTATTATTAATGTGGTATAATATATAATATGTAACTTGACAACATTCTATATACATAACTTTAAAAGTTTTACACACCATGTTGAAAATGTTCTTCATTTATGATTATTTTCCATCATCTTTGCTGAGTTGGGTATCACCACACTACAGACATCTATAAAGATGTCTTATAAATATCAAATCAATCAGGTTCCTAGTATTTATTAAGGCTTGAGCTAATACTGAAGGCTTTTCTGCATTCAGTTCATTATGATTTTACTACTGTATGAATTCTCTGATGTACAGTGAGTTGTGACTTCTGGATGAAGGCTTTCCCACAGATAGCACATTGATAGGGTCTTTCCCCAGTATGAATTCTCTGATGTAAAACAAGGTCTGACTTCTGGGAAAACGCCTTTCCACATTCAGCACATATGTAAGGTTTTTCTCCTGTATGAATTCGCTGATGCCCTGGGAGGTGAGACTTCTGAGAGAAGGCTTTCCCACATTCACTGCATATATAAGGTTTTTCTCCTGTGTGAATTCTCTGATGTCCAATGAGATGTGATTTCTGACAGAAGGCTTTTCCACATTCACTGCATTTATAGGGCTTTTCTCCAGTATGTGTTCTCTGATGTATGATGAGCTGTGACTTCCGGGAGAAGGTCTTCCCACATTCAGTACATTCATAAGGTTTCTCCCCAGTATGAATTAACTGATGTGTAATGAGTTCCGTCTTCCTGCTGAAGGCTTCCTCACATTGAGCACATTTGTAGGGTTTCTCCCCAGTGTGAATTCTTTTATGTATAATGAGGTGGGACTTCTCACAGAAGGCCTTCCCACATTCAGTACATTCATATGGTTTCTCTCCAGTATGAGCTCTATGATGTATGATCAGCTGTGACTTCTGGGAGAAGGCCTTCCCACACTCTCTACATTCATAAGGTTTCTCTCCAGTGTGAATTCTTTGATGTATAATGAGGGGTGATTTCTGGGAGAAGGCTTTCCCACACTCACTACATTCATATGGCTTTTCCCCAGTGTGAACTCTCTGATGTATAATGAGGGAAGATTTCTGAGAGAAGGCTTTTCCACATTCAGAACATTCGTAAGGTTTCTCCCCAGTATGAGTTCTCTGATGTACGATGAGATGAAACTTCTCACTGAAGGCTTTCCCACATGCACCACAATCATATGGTTTCTTTCCAGTATGAATTCGTTGATGTACAATAAGCTGTGACTTCTTGGCAAAGGCCTTTCCACATGTAACACACACACAGGTTTTCTCCTTAGTTTCAACATTCTGATATTGCATAAGGGATTGTTTACTACTAAAAATGTTCCCACACTGATTGTTATTACAGGGCATTACTCCATTGTGCATTTTCTCAAGATTAGAATCAGATGCACCATAGCTAGATGATTTTCCACATCCCAAACTCTCATCAGGGTTTTTTCTTGAATTACTCTTATTACAACTACGTAGATCAGCATTATATTTCAAGTTCTTTTTAAATACATCATAGCTATGGGATCTTTGTCTTAAAGTATCTGGCTCTATGCACTCTTGAAATATTTTTCCAAAGGCATTATATTTATGGCCTGACTCCACAGTCACTGTTTTGTTGCTGATGACTGTTACTTGCCTGAAAAGTTTGTCTTGGTTTTCCTGACATCTCTGTAGCTGGCCATCATCTTGACAGACTTTTAAAATGGAGTACAATGAACCATCCTTTGTGACTCCTTTCAGGATATTATTACGGAAGGAAACAGACCCCAAAATACATGATTTGGGGTTGTCAAGGTTACTTTTCCTGTCTAAAAGAAAGAAAGATAAAATAAAACAATTATAAAGAACAATAAACAAACGAAAAAAAGAACAATAAACATAATGCAGAAGAACAGAACAAATGATTAATCCAATGTAGTTGATGAACTCAGAACACAGGGACAGAGACAGGCCATCTCCTAACACAGGTCAGCATAAAGTATGATCAGATGAATGGATGGAAAAGGATATTAAAGAGAAAAATTAGAACTGAAGGAAATAGAAATGTATCTGGGTTATTATCACTCTAATCGTGGATTATTCTTCTAGAATTTTCCCATTTCTCCTGCTTTCTGAATGGAAATCCTTTTCACTTTCTGAATTCATTTATCTTATAAACCATTTGCTACATATATACTTAACTATTATCCTGTGACCATTATCCAAAGAAACAAGGTCCCTTCTGTACTCAAAATATTTTAACTCTCTTCAGTCTACTTTCCTAATTAAAAACTAACACAAACAACAGAAAAATCCAAGACCCTGCTATGGATTCAGTATCAGATTCACACCAAGAATCCAAGCTTATATTCCACTACTTCCCATAACACCTTCTATATATACCAACAGAAACTAGCAAAGTTCTCCCAGAAAAGCCTTCATTCTCTACCTTCAAAGTTTTATTCATACACCCTCTCCCCACCACAATCTGCCTTCACCTTCCTCCTTCAGCATCACCAACACTTAGTATGTTTCAAAGCAGCTACAGCTGCATGCTCCGAAAAACACCTTCTCAAATTCTGCTGCATATTTAGACTTGCATTTTCTCCGAACTTTTAAAATGGTAACTATATTTGACAGATAATTTTGTACACCATGTGCCTGGAGGTCTTACCATGTAAAGTACAACCTATGTTCTTGGGAGGAATTTGCCTTTCTATTGCCTTTCCATAAAAGGTGTTAAAGATATACATATATGCAGAAAGGAAGAAGATCAAGAAGAAATAGCTCCTCCTTATAAAGGTTCAGAATTATTTAATTATTTGTCAAATGCCTACTAAATTCTCAGCACAGGAACAAACAATAAGAAATCTCGATAAGGACAAAACGTCAGCCTCAGGCATCAATCAATTAAGAAAACAAAACAATCTGAGATTTCACTTCCCTTGTCTCCCATCTGCCTGATTTTCATCGGTATAGATCCAATTTGATACGTCTCTCTTGATGATCCATGGATCTTCCCCTTGTTCCAACTTAGAGATGACATCTGGTTTGGAAACTGGATATCCTATTAAGTGGAAATCACAGAGGAATTGGGATTGGGGGCACTGAAGGAAAAAAGAGAAGGTGTTGTTTCAGAAGGGCTACAATGAATCAGTCCAGTTGACTCTCAGCAAACACCATGACCTCTGTTTGGGAAGGTCTGAAGATCGTTAAGTCATTATATATCTCAGGAACCACGTAAGCACAGCACCTGATAAGGAAAGGCCCTTGGTTGGACAAGTCTGAGTGATGCAGGGAAGCCATCCTTACCCAATGAGATCACGTGGCTGAAGTTCTCCAGCATCACATCTCTATACAGGGTCCTCTGAGCAGGGTCCAGTTGCTGCCACTCCTCTTGGGTGAAATCCACAGCCACATCCTTGAATGATACCAACCCCTGTAACAGTATATTCCTGTTCAGTCTGAAGTGACCATTCTCATCATTCCTACTATAGTATATAAAACTACAACTACACCTAGTTTTGTATCATAGTATTTGGGAGAAACAGCACAAAATCTTGTCTTTACAAGAAGAGACAGATTAGGAAAACAGAAGAGGTAAATCAAAATGCCTACCTAATACAAATGGTAATTTAATAAATCATAAGGGCAGCATTCAAATAACTGAGAGGAAAACAGATTATTCAAAGAATAATACTGAAACAACCGGAGAGTCAACAGGAAAGGAAGAATGTTGAATCCATACGTTAAAGGTGGAATTAATTGTATGCTCTTAAAATTCATATGTTGTATGCTAACTTCTAGTTTCTCAGAATGTGACCTTATTTGAAAACAGGGTCACTGCAGATTTAATTAGTTCTATGAGGTCATTAGGATGGACCCTAATCCTAATGGACACTTTGAGTTTTGGCTTCTAGCCTCCAGAACTTTGAGACAATAAATTTCTGTTGTTTAATCTACCCAGTCTGTGGTCTGTTGTTAAGGTAGCCCTGGAAAACTAATACACCATATTTTATGTCTTGAGAAATGCAAAATATACATTTTAGATGAAGCAAAAAATTAAATTCTAAAAATATAGCCAAGAGCATAAAAGTAACAAAACATGGGAAGATTTTTATTAATAATTACAGAGCAGAGAAAGCTTTTGTTTTTTGGTTTTTTTTTAATGTTCCTTTTTTATTTATTTTGAGAGAGTGAGAGAGACACAGAGAGAGGGAGTGAGCAGGGGAGGTGCAGAGAGAGGGGAAGAGAGAGAATCCCAAGCAGGTTCCATGCTGTCAGCACAAAGCCTGATGTGTGGGGTGGAACCCCTGGCAATGAATCTTGACCTGAGCCAAAACCAGGAGTTGGGCACTTAACTGACTGAGCCACCCAGGTGCCCCTAGCAGAAAAAGCCTTTTATTTTTATTTATTTATTATTTTTAAATTTTTTCAACATTATTTATTTTTGTGAAGAGAGAGATGGGCTTATGAACGGGGAGGGGCAGAGAGAGAGACACAAGTCAAGAAACAGGCTCCAGGCTCTGAGGCATCAATGAAAGGGAAGCCCGGCCAGCGGGGCTGAACTCAGACCACATGAGATCGTGACCTAGCTGGGATTGGACTGGCTCAACTCCCATTGTGCCACCAAACTAGAAAAAAGCCTTCCCTATTTTTTTTATTTATTTTTTTTTTTTTTAATTTTTTTTCAAGCGTTTATTTTGGGACAGAGAGAGAGACAGAGCATGAGCAGAGGCGGGCTGAGGGGAACTAGAAGAAGAGGAGAGGAGAACACAAGAATCGGAAACAGGCTCCAGGCTCAACCACACTGACAGAACTGGCCATGAGGGGCTCGAACCTCCTGGGACCAGCAGATGGAGCCTGGCCTGAAAGTCAGGGCAACAACACGGGCCTAGCCACCCAAGCCCAAGAAAAAAAGCAACAAAATAAAAAATTAAAAGAGAAAAAACACATATAAGAAAATCACAGAGATAATAAGTGTTCTTGAGAAGAGGAGTACCCACCTCAATTTATAGGAAAATAATCATAGCTTCACCTCAATTAATGGTTCTCCGATATATATCTGTATATATATGAATATAGATGAATGAATATAGATATATATATAGATATGCTATGAATGGAATATATCTATACTCCAATACAATAACTAGTAATATAATGAGTATACTCTGTTAGTAGCAATACTGAAAAGAGACATAATGAAAATGTACGACACTCATAAAAAAAAATAAGATTATTGATGTTTCTAAACTTGGGTAAAGAAGTGTAATGTAAGGTATTTCTGGAGGAAAAGGGACTGTTTATTTGTTATTTATTTTTTTTTTTATTTTTTTTTTTAAATTTTTTTTCAACGTTTATTTATTTTTGAGACAGAGGGCGGAGCATGACGGGGGAGGGCAGAGAGAAGCTTCTTGGGAATCGGAAACAGGCCCAGGCTCCGAGCCATCGAGCCAGGCGACGCGGGGCTCCCGAACTGCGCGGACGCGGATCGTGAGCCTGGCTGGTCGGGCAACAGCGCCAGGCCTAAAAGCGCAGTGAAGCCAAAGGGACATTTCCAGTGGTCGCGATCATGTTCACACAGTTGTCATCCCCACCTGGAGTGATGTTTTTCCTTTTTCTCCCTAAATATTTCATTATTATCAAATATTGCTTTCAGAACAAAAACAGGTCATCACGCGGTTTCCACTATCAAGCTTGCACCTTCCAGAAGTATCCACTGGTTTCCACCACATCGCTTTGCGTGCTTCTGCAATCCGGTCTCAATCATGGCGTATATGGTCCCAGCCCAGGTCCCCGTATTCACGTCGTTCCTTGACCCGTTGTCGCTTAAAACGGCATAGTAGCACCTGTTTGTATGAAACCTGAATGCGGTGGTTCAGTGTCACTTGCCGGAGGGGTCGGGCACTGAAGATATGATTAGCTCTCGGCAAGCAGGGTGTTCTGAGTTCAATGGCTCACACTGCCTTGATGTATAACCATATGTATTTTATTGTTTTGTAACACCCATAGTCACTATTGAAACACCCTAGATTTTCGTTTTCCTCCAATTCTCAGCCTTCTACAAAAACCACTCCTCTCTGCTGCTTTGTAAATGTTGAACTTACATCCTTGTCTGCCTCTTTCTGTGATCTAAAGCTCAATAATTTTTAAAGCCTGTTTTTTCCACAACTTTCATATACATTGGTTTGCTCCTACTCTCCGAATTTTAACGAGTTCCTTGCTCCCTATTACCAAAATTTTTGTTTTATCAATACACTGCTTTTTCCATGTGTTTACCACCTATTTTTCTCTGC